CCCGAGGGGTCCCAGACTGCGAGAGGGCAGGCCGGGCTGAGAGACCCCCCCTTTTCCCCCCCCCCCCAGTGCACAAATTTTTGTGCCCCGGGCCTCTAGTGGTGATAATAATAATAATTAATAATAATAATAAGTGCTTATATCATGTTTACTATGTGTCAGGCTCTTTTCTAAGCGCTTTGCATAAATAAACATCTTTAATGATGCTCTGAGGTTCATCCTATTATAACCCATTTTATAGATGAGGAGACTGAGGCACAGAGAGGGAAAGTCGCTCATTTAAAATTCACACAGGTAACACGTGGCAGGGCCAGGGTTCACACCCAGGCTGCCTTGCTTGAACAACAGTTAATATTAAATAAATATTTTTAATAGAAAGAAGGAAAGAAGAAAGAAAGAAAGAAAGAAAGAAAGAAAGAAAGAAAGAAAGAAAGAAAGAATAATAAATATTCCTATTGTACCACCTTGGGTCTTGGCTGGCTGACTCCTGGGGTGGGAGGATGTGAGGTAGCTTTGAGTATATTCTTAGTGGCCATCGTAACTTATTTGCCCTCCCAAAGGTGGGAGGTGAAACAAATGCTTTGCTTACGGTCTCTCAGCTACAAAAAGTACCAGTCGACCTGAAAATAAGGGTGTATAAGACGATCCTTCCTGCACCCCTAAAAGTTTGGTTAAGAATCTGCCTGCAGGGAACTTTCCCTGAAAGGTCCCCGATGTGTCTCCACCTGCCACACCTGCCAAGGTGGGCCAGGAATTCAAACAAACATTACACACAGTGCAGGGTAAGTGGGCCTCTGCCCCGGCACTTGTCATGCTTCTCTATAAAAATGTAACTGTAATTAAATAGTTAGGTGTGTGATTATAGGTTTCCTATGCGTCTCCGCTACTGGACCACCAGCTCCAAGAGGGCAGGATTTCTGTCTGCCTTGTCCACTCTGCAGCCAGTGCCTGGCACAGAGCAGGCATTAGGGAACTACTTGCTCAATGACTGGATGAATGGATGAATGATGAATGAATGCTAGAGGCAGGATATGAACTCAGACCTTCTACTCTGAACCTAGCGATCATCAATGGCACCCCACTGTCTTCCTGGGCAAACCTGGCATTTCCTTCAAATATGTGTGGCTTCTCTCAATCTGAGTTCCTTTTTTTAAATATCTTTTTTTCATCATAAATATTTGCTAGAGAAAGCTAGAAACTGCTGAAAAGTATCAAGACAAATATGAAAGCCATTTGTAGTTTCATCACCCAGAGACAATTACTATTGGTGTTTGATATGTAGCTTTCTACTTTTAAAAATACAAATATAGCTCTAGCCGGTTTGGCTCAGTGGATAGAGCATCAGACTGCAGACTCAAAGGGCCCAGGTTCAATTCTGGTCAAGGGCACATGCCTGGGCTGCAGGCTCGATCCCCAGTAGGAGTCCTGAAGGAGGCAGCCAATCAGTGATTCTCTCTCATCACTGATGTTTCTATTTCTCTCTTCCTCTCCCTTCTTCTCTGAAATCAATAAAAAATTAATTTAAAAAATACTAATACATAATTGTTGGGTTTGGGTTTGTAGGTTGTGTGTGTGGGGGGGTTAAGTTTTTTTGGTTTTTTTTTTTTTACAATATTAAGATTAAATTCCATCTTCTGCTTTGTACTCTGGTATTTTAAACTTAATGTCAGAGTGGGAAGTCTCCCCTCAGCCCTGTCACTAGATGTCTCTGCAAGAAGGTGTGGGCAACACCCACAAGTGCCCTAGCCCACGACAGGACTCCCCAGGAAGTGAGCCCAGGCTAGAGTTCCCAGAAAACACGAGGGACAGAGGAGCAGGTTAAGCGACACCACAAGGGAGCGAAGAACCAGACCTCAAATGGAAGATGTTCCATAGAACAAAGACCCGGTTTCTCCAACAATTGATGGCAAGAAACAAGAGAAAGGGGACCATTATAGTCCAGGGGTCCTAGGACTTTTTCTGTAAAGGGCCAGAGAGTAAATATTTCAGACTTGGTGGGCCATCAGGTGCTTAGAGTTTTCTATGCAAGCATCAACAGTAGTTCACAGTCATGCCAGCTAACACTCAGATGTGCCTATAACTGCTTCACATGTCTAACTCATTTAGTCCTCACGATAACTCAGTGAGGTGGACTGTTATTAATCTCCATTTGACACACAGGGAAGTGCAGACCCAGAGAGCTGGAGTCACCGTACAAGATCACAAAGCGACTGAGAAATAATACAAGTTAATGTTCAACAGAGGCCAGCGTTTGCCTATTTAATCCTTCTAATAGCCTATGAAGTAGACACGGTTTCACCTGTTTCCTAGGTGAGAAAGGGAGGCACAGCGGGAGGCCCTGTGCCCTCGGTCACACCGCAGTGGGTTGCAGACCGGGATTCTAGCTTGACTCTGGGTCCTTAACACGCCCTACCCTACAGTAGTTACACCACGTCCCTTTAAGGAAAGTCCTGGGAGAGTCTAGAATACTAGAATATTCCAGGACAAGGTTTTCATTGAGCTAAAGTTTTGAATAGATAATTCATTCATCACCTGCTCCAAAGAGATAAACTGAAGAGTCCCCCTCCCACCCTGGTTTCCAGCCACTCAGTTTTCAGACACAAAAGTCACGTCTGTGACTAGATCCTTCCGTATCCTCCCAGAGTGCCTTTAGGCCAGTGGTTCTCAACCTTCTGGCCCTTTAAATACAGTTCCTCATGTTGTGACCCCCAACCATAAAATTATTTTCGTTGCTACTTCATAACTGTCATGTTGCTACTGTTATGAATCGTCATGTAAATACCTGATATGCAGGATGGTCTTAGGCGACCCCTGTGAAAGGGTCGCTCGAGCGCCAAAGGGGTCGAGACCCACAGGTTGAGAACCGCTGCTTTAGGCAAACTTAAGTATATGTTCTTATTCTCATCCTTTTTATACACGAATGCCGGTGTTGGCCAACTTCAGAATGCAGGCCAAATCTGGCCCGTGGCCTGTTTTGTAAATAACGTTTTCCTGGCAGTCATACTCATTCCTTGATGTATTGTCTATGGCTGCTTTCAGGCAGAACTGAATAGTTGTGAGAGGCCCGACGACCAAAAACATTTCCTCTCTGGCCCTTTAAGCAAATGTTTGCTGACCGCTGCCTGAACTAAAGGAAGCAGCCACAGCCACTGTTCTGCAGTTTGCTTTTACCTCTTAGCCACATAACCCAGAAACCTTGCCATGTTCAGGGCCGCACAGCATTTTGCCACGTGAATATGCTTTATGTGCTGATGCTTCCTCCACTGCGAGGCACCTGGGAGGCTGCCAAGGTTCCCCTGCCACCAGCAGAACTGCAATTTGACACACTCGCCGCTTCCCACGTGGGTGAGGATGTTTGTGGGGTAAATGTCCAGAAACAGTTTTCTGAGTCTGGGTTCCTAGGGGGGCAGCGGTCAGGGAGGGGGATCAATGGGTGAACCCCCTGGAATTAAGTGGAGAAGGTGGCATACATGTGGGCATTTTTCTGGCCAGATCCTCAAAGAGCAAAGGGTTGGAGACTGTGGTTGGACCTGGGATCTGAGCGTGAGGATGGGGGCTTGTTCTGGGAAGTCCAGGGCCTACAGCCCAGGCTGGGCACTCACCAAGGTCATCGGCGAGCCTCTGGCCGTCCTCCGCAAGCACGACACGCTCATCCTCCAGGTCACACTTGTTCCCCACGAGGATGACCTGAGCATTGTCCCAGGAGTAGGTCTTGATCTGGGTGGCCCTGTGGAGTTTGAGGGCTGTGAGGCCAGAGATTTGGGGTTAGGGGAGAGGGCAAAGGTCAGGGGACCAGTAGGCAGCAAGCACTCACCAGTCCTGCACGGCGGTAAAGGACTCCTGGTTGGCAACATCGTACATGAGCAGGAAGCCCATGGCTCCCCGGTAGTAGGCTGTGGTGATCGTCCGGTAGCGTTCCTGCCCTGCCGTGTCCTGGGGAAACAGTGGGGTCAGCCGACTAGGGAAGGGTCACCGCACCCCTGCAGGGCCCTGCCCCCACTGCCCCAGTCTGATGAGAGAAACATGGGCCTGCCTCCATGTCTGATGTGAGAGACATGACCCTGAGCTTGAGGAGTTCCCAGTCTGAGGGGTCAGTGCCTCTCACAGACTTATAAGCCCCTTTGACCTCATCTCCAAGAACCTACGTAATGACCACAAACAGGAGCCACCTGGGCTAGAGGGGACCCCCTTGATGCACACACCTGGCGCTCGTTACCCTGACAATTGTTACCAACGGCTGCACCCTGGGGGTGGGGTGGGGGGTGAGGATGGCTCTGACACCTGGCGGGCTCAGTGGGGGCCTCTGGGCTCACACCTGAGATGTACCTAAATCCCTTTCCCATTAGTCACTAGGACTTCTAACTGCCTTGGGTTACTGCTGACGCGCCCTCAGACCTCACAGGGCAGGGCGCATCCTCTCGTCCTGATGAATTCGCCTCACAGATAATACTCCCCCTACTCTTCACACCTACTCCAGGCCCCCTCCCCGACTCTGGGCTCCTCTCTCACTCGGGACCCCTTCCCACAGCCCTACACCTTCCCATGGGCGTCCCGCAGGCCCAGGAACAGCTGCAGGGCCCACCCAGATCTGCAGCTTGATCCTCTTGTCGTGGCGGTAGACGGTCTTGACCTTGAAGTCAATGCCCACGGTGCTGACGAAGGCGGGTGTGAAGGAGTCGTCTGCGTAGCGGAACAGGAAGGACGTCTTGCCCACACTGCTGTTGCCAATGAGCAGAAGCTTGAACATGTAGTCGAAGTTCTGGTCTGCTGCATCACGAGGGCTGGTGGGGGCGTCTCCCGCTGATGCCATCCTGGGGGGAAGCCTCCGGCGGGGGAGGCCTGGAGCCCTGCAGGGAAACAAAAGACAAGTAACCTGGGTTCAAATCCCGCTTCTGCCACTTGGAGGCCAAGCGACTCAGGATGCATCAGTTGCTCTCTGCAGGACTCAGAAAAGGGGGATGTCTGGCAAACGCAAGGGCCCAGGTTGGGGGGCGCATGGGGGCCTCCTCTGGCTGCTGAGGAACCAGACCCTGCGAAGGTGCAGGTGTGGACTTTGTCCCCTGGTGAGCAGCCAGTGTGGCCCAGGTGTGAGCTGGGGGAGGGGGCCTGCCAGCTGGATAGAGCCCCCCCTTCCCCCTGCAGGCTGGGTGTTGACTTTGGCAGGTGTCAGCCACCACCAGGGTGCCTGCCCTGCCCCCATCCAAGCTGAGCTTAATCCCCAGGGGAGGGGATTTCAGTAGGTTCAGCCCAGGGATAAGCCAAGCTCTGCCCCGGCAGTGGGTACTGCCACCTCCTGTTTGTCAAAGGGGCCGGGCCCATTTCGTTCTGGATAGAGCTGACTCAGTCCAGCCCCAGCCCAGGGAGGCTGGGGTGATGGTCCTCAAACAGAAGGAAACCACCCAGCCACCTAATCATCAGGAACCCTACGCCAGGACCGCCACTCCTGGTCCTGTCCTTCCTGGCATCGTGTCCCCACAGCGGGGCTGCCTCACCTGGGCCCAGGACATCCGCTCAGCCCTCCGGGCCTCCCTAGATCTCAGCTGCCCCAGCTGTCTACCGCCGCCCCCTGAGCCACACAGGGAGGTTCCAGAAGACCTGGGTGAGCGGGGAACACACCTCGCAAAGCTCTTTCTCAACTGCCTGTGGGGCTTCTTTCCATTTTAAAGGAGGACACAGCCGGCCCCCCTTTCTGCCCAGCCCTCAGCCCCACCCCGTGTTCCGGGAGAACGAGTTTGAGGGGAAGACAAGAGACAGGAAGCCTTTCCCCAAGCTGGGCAGGGCTGCCAGGCTGGGGCCCCGTCCCCGCCCCACCCCCATCCCCCCTGTCAGCCGGCCCCACCCTCCCTCGCCCCGCACTTGGTAAGGGTACCGGGATCTGGCCCCTTCCCTCTCCGCTGGGTTTGAGGAGCCCCCGCCAGTGCAGGGTAGCTCTGGAGCGTCCTCCCATCACCATATGGTCCCATCTCTCGTTCCCAGCGGGGCTCCCGGAGCCGCCCGCGTCCCATTCTCGTCCTCGGAGGAGCCCAGCTGGGTGGGGGCGAGGGAAGAGGCGTCCCCCGCTGCCCGCCTCTGTTCCCCTGGGGACACCCCCAACCCCCTGGTCCCCCCCAGACCT